ATCGCTGGAGCCCAGCAGGTTGAGGCTGTGGTGGCTGGGAGTGTGCCACTGCACTCCAGTGTGGGTGACAGAGTGAGACTCCAACTCAAAAAAAAGGGAATGTTTCAAGAGAATAACTGGCCGAGTGTAGTGGTTTAAGCCTGTAATCTCAGCACTTTGGGAGGCCGAGATGAGAGGATTGCCTGAACCTGGGCGTTCGAGACGAGCCTGGGCAATTTGGCGAGATCCCGTCTCTATAATATATCAAAAAAATTAGCCGGGCATGGTAGCACATACCTGTTGTTCCGGCTACTTGGAAAGCTGAGGCGAAAGGATTGCTAGAACCCAGCAGGTCAACACTGGGGTGGCCGTGAGTATGCTACTGCACTCCAGCCTGGGCAACAGAGTGAAATTCTGACTCAAAATAAAATAAAATAAAATAAAATAAAAAAAAGAGAGTAACTACTGAAAACTACTGAGATATCAGCTCATAAGAGTGAGAAGTGCCCATTGGTCATTTCAGGTTCCTCTGTTTAGAGTCAGATAATTTCATGGGGCAGTTTTTGGGGGCTAAGCCATATTGAAGTGTGTTGGGGAGTGAAACTTTTTTTTTTTGACTTGGAGTCTCTCCATCACTCACGCTGGAGTACAGTGGCACTCTCGTGGTCACCCCAGCATCAAACCTGCTAGGCTTAGGTAGTGAAGCAAACAGACCTGAAGGATAGGATGTTATAGTCAGAACCTGGGATGTATGATTTTTAGTATTTTGGAGCTGGGGCATTTTAAGGCAGTGACATAGTCTAGTCTGTAGTTGTAGCAGAGTAGAACTAAAGTGTCATGGACAAAAAGGTTAGTAATGAGCTGGAAAGGAAACTGTAGAGATGGAGTATTGAAGAGGCTATCAGTGTGCCCTTTGAAATCATTAGGGTGATCTAATACAATAGGAATTTGGGTGGAGATGAAGAGTGGAAACCACTGTCAGAGTCTTTAGTGAATGAGTGAGGAAGTGACCATGACCAGGAAGGAAAGAAATTAATCTCTTGGTACAGATCTCACAAGGAAAGGGAGCCTGCAGGTGGGCTGAAAAGTAGTGACCTGAAAACTGTAGCATGGGGCCCGATAAGGCAGGCATGCCGGGCGTAGTGGCTCATGCCTGTAATCCCAGCACTTTGGAAGGCCAAGGCTGGAGGATTGCTTGAGATTGCTTGAGATTGCTTTGGTAACATAGCAAGACCTCATCTCTACAAAAAATTAAAAGTTTAGGCCAGGTGCGGTGGCTTACCCCTACAATCTCAGCACTTTGGGAGGCCAAAGCAGATGGATTGCTTGAGCCCAGGAGTTCAAGGCCAGCCTGTGCAACATAGTGAAACCTTTTCTCTACAGGAAAAAAAAAAAATGAGCCAGGTGTGTTTGAGCACACCTATAGTCCTAGCTACTTGGGATGCTGAGGTGGTAGTATCACCTGAGCCTGGGAGGTCAAGGCTGCTATGAGTCATAATCATGATTATGCCACTGCACTCCAGCCTGGATTATGCCACTCCACTCCAGTCACAACTCAAAAAAAAAAATTAGCTGGGCGTGGTGGCATGTGCCTGTAGACCCAGCTATGGGGAGGATGAGGCAGGAAGATTGCCTGAGCTCAGAAGTTCGAGGCTGTGATAAGTCATGATCGTGCCACTGTACTTCAGCCTGGGTGACAGAATGAGGCCCCAACTCAAAAAAAAAGAATAAAAAAGACACAGACAGCCGGGCATGGTGGCTCACGCCTGTAATCTCAGCACTTTGGGAGGCTGAGACTCAGGGATTCAAGACCAGCCTGAGCAACATGGCGAGACTTCATCTCTACAATAAATAAATAAAAAATTCGCCAGGCATGGTGCATGCCTGTGGTTCCAGCTACTTGGAAGGCTGAAGCACTAGGATCACCTGAGCCCAGCAGGTCGAGGCTACGGTGGCTGTGAGTATGCCACTGCCCTCCAGCCTGGGACAGAGTGAAACTCCTACTCAAAAAAAAACCAAAACAACAAAAAAAGACACAGGCATATTGTGTGTGGAATGTAAGAGAACAAGTGGCCTCCACCAGATTGCTGCAGGAAGGAGTGGTGGATTCATGTGAATGACTAGGTTTCCAGTAAGACAAATTGTGGGAGGAGTGCTGAGTGAAGAACTTGAGGGTTTTGGTGAGCTGACTGATGATAAAGCAGGAATTTCAGAGGGTACAGGGAGGTGTGTGAGAGAGAAGAGGTTGAAAGTTTGGCTCAGGGGAGAGAAAGCAGAATTATCAACCAGAATTCAAGTGCAAAAGTGGTTCATTCATTGGAAGGGTTTCCACAGGACTTTAGAGAATTTTATACATAGTACTCAAATTTAAGAAGGACACAGAAATTTGGAGTTCATTCAGAGAAAAGGGACCAGGAAGATTTTGATCTATTTCTTTTTTTTTTTTTCAGTTGGAATCTCTCTCTCTGTTGCCCAGGCTGGAGTGCAGTGGCACACTCAGGCCACCGCAGCCTCCACCTGCTGGACTCAGGCAATCCTTCTGCCTCAGCCTTTCAAGTAGCTGGAACCACAGGCACATGCCACTACGGCTGGCTAATTTTGATCTATTTCTTTATTAACAGTTATGGCTTTTTGTGAGTTGGAGTCTTACTCTATTGTCCAGGCTGGGGTGCAGTGGCATCTTCATAACCACGACCTGCTGGGCTCAGGCAATCCTTCTTTCTGTCAGCCTTCCAAGTAGCTAGAACCACAGGCACATGTCACCACGCCCAGCTAATTTTTTTATTGTTAAATTTTATTTCATTATAGAGATGCGGGGTACAAGTGAGGATTAAGTAGGCTGCATGCAGGTGAAGTTTGGGGTTTCTTTTCTTTTTTTTTTTTTTGAGTTGGAGTCTCACTCT